GTACCGACCTCCTAAGGCACGTGCCTTAGGACGTTTAATCGGGACATATCGTACCATTAATGATGGCGATCAGTTGCCTTCTCGTTATTAACCTGTCGCACAGCTGGGAGTTTTAAGAAGCTTAGGGATGGTACTAGGATGTTACTGGCACCACTTTTGCTTTTTTAAATATAAAATGAAATGTATGGATTCATTTAAAAAAATCAGCCTTACTCGAAAGCTTAGAATACCTAGTAGAACAGATCATTGAATAAGAGTGATTTAAATACGCTGGTTACTGTTTTCCTACATTAAACCTAAACTTCACAAGATACATACTTTGGTCATTCGGGCAAAGAACCGGGAGTACCAAATCTTTTCATGTGTGGAACAATTACGTATATTTTTTTAACAATCTCTTCTTATTTCTTCATAATTTCTTAGAAACAAGCTTTGAATCCGCATTTCACAGACAAGACGCACTTGCTACGGAGTTTTTATTCCTGAGAAAGTGTCGTACAACACCGTTCCCATAACCTCTTGTAATCGCCTTGCTCTTTGAAGGTCTAACATATTGATTCAACTATTTCCTTAATTTTATGTGTAATGGCAAACATCAACTAACTGGGCGAGTTTCAGTCCACATCTGATTAACAATGTATAAAAATTATTTACTTACGCATGAACAATATTAATTGATTGTGTCCACCACATTACTCCGTGGGCAATGGAGAACTAACAAATAAATAAAAACGCCAACACGATCCAGAATATGGTAAGAGTTTAAAACTTTTAGTAGGACTCCAACGGTCACTTTTGAAAATTTAATTCAGAACCTTTTTGTTTGTGTCCAATCTTTAAGAAGACACTGTCGCAGAAAGTGGCGAATTCATCATGAGCTAAATGGAGTTCGCTCCCGATATTGTTGAAGACTCCGAATGTGCTTTCATGAGGACGAAGTCTTCCAAGCGTGAATCACAGAAACGTAGATTCTTGACATGCTGAGATGGTCTACTCACCTGCTTGAGGGGAGGAAGGTGCAGAATTCTCTCGCTGAGAAGTATCGGCTGGTTCAATTAAGTGCGATTGACCGGTCTCCTCCAAGGCGTCCTTAAGATTCAGGATTCCGGAATTGCCTTTCGCCAGAACAATTTTGAGGATGGTTTCCCTTTCTTTTTGTTTCGTGGAAAGATCTTCTTCCGCATCTTTCCAGTTTGGATCGAGAGCATTTTTCGAAATGAGTATGGGTGCTATCTTAGAAACGTTCAAATGTTCTACCAATGCAGGCCAAAAGGGTGTGAGTTCATCATTTCCGGATGACATTCCGGATACCCTAAAACCAAAGCATGGAATTCCTGTAATATCGATTGCTACAAATTTTGGGGGGATAAAAAAAGTATCCGGTCTTCCCTATACGAGCAAACTTAGTACCGAAGTTAGGTTTCAGTATTATCCTGTTCAAAATGGGTTCCTTCACTGGCGTCACACTTCTCCCGGCGTTTCTCGAGACAATTGCCCTGGATTTAACCCTTTCTTGGCAAGGTACTTCAATACGTTGGTCGCTACTGACAGGAGAGCACCTGCGTCGTTAATGCGGCGGCCATTCAGATGGAAATTCATTATGGGAAACAGCGTGAAGTCGCAAATGGCGAAGTGCGGCGAGCACGGAAGCAGTGGAGGACCATCGAAAAGCCACAATGAGGACACGGTGCATGCTCTTTCTGAACATGGTAGTTGTGACCGCAGGCAATTTGAAAGGCCGCCGCTTCAACGACGCCCAAATACCTATACAGTTACTACTACTACTACGAAGCGATCATACTGAAGCCTAATTCCTATGCATAATTTTTAATAGTTTTCTCGCATGCAGTCTGCAAAGCAATATTGATACAACTAGGCGACCCGTAGAAGACTTCCACGAATTTCGGGTTGGCCTAGGCTAAGCGTGTAGCATTTTCGGGAATTCACATAGTTCAGTTAGCGTTATCTCCGCCCCCTTAATCAATCGGAACCCATTCCTCATATTGATCAGCACTAATTTCCCGTATCACCCTATGCGTATCGCCCGTAAAGTCCATCTCAAACACTTTCCTGTAGGCCTATGAGGTGAAAATACGGATGGAGAAAAGGGATGTTTACGACGAGGCCTACGGTATCTTTCCGATCCGAGATTAAGCGCTCTTATTCTGTTCCATCCAGATGGGATCCCGCCACTTTCACACTCCGTCACACAGGGGGTGCGTAAGATATATAATGCCTCTCTCCTGTTCCCAAGAATGGATCCGACAGCCGATACGGCCGGAGAGAAAGTGCGAGCTCGAGAAAGCCAGACTTACCCCCAGAGTCAGGCAGAAGATTGGGAAGCACTGCCTCACATATTTATTGCCCGAGCCATTAAACTGCGGCGTCCCAGACCAGAGGCTTGTGTTCAACAGAATGGAGGACACATTGAGCACCTTTTCAATTGAAATAAAGAATCATCAGGAGAAATTATTCGAGTACCCAATTAGATTTATTATTGTATTCTTACCAGGAACGTGTTGCATGTAGCAATATTTTCTTCTCTCTCATTTTTCTCGTCCCATTGTGTCATGTTTCCTCGTGCCTAGCGAAAAAGGCTGTATCCTTCCGCTTTCGAAACGCAATGCCGTCGCTGCAATTCGATTTATATTAGCGTCCCAACGAACTTTACTAGGTAATTTATTGCTCACACACGTAACAGGATTTGCGATGGCATCATATCTGTTTTTGCAGAGCATGCCTAATGCCTAATTAGGTTAATTTATGGTCTATGGCATGTAACGTTCAGCTTTCCAAAGGTAAAAATTGGATGATTTCCTTGTGTGTCATACCGTCTTCAATAAATACTAGAGAGATCCCAAGGCCAAGGCCACGCCCTCTTTCATCTTCTTGGAACGAACTATCAGAACACTTGACCTTGAGGGATGTAGCGATTCTCAAAGTCATGTGTCTTGCCAGTTTTTGATGAAGCGATGATTAAATCAGGTATAGGCCACACGAGCACATATATAATTCGCCGCGGGGATTCCTGCTGAGTTACACCCTTAATTTGGAGGAATCATTCAATTGCCCGTTGCTCTGTAGCTGCATTTATGCGTAAGCCTTAGAACATCTATAATGTTTTTCAGAGACAGTATGACATGCATGGCGATATCAACCCTTATTTTAGCCATGGAAATCTGAACTTTACATATGGCATGGAGAAAACCTATGTACAGTCGTCCCTCGCCACTTCGCGCTTCGACTTTCGCGGCTTCACTCTATGGCGGTTTTTTCAAATACCTGTGTATTGGGTAATACGAGTGTAATGGTGACTAAAGAGTGTTATTTCATGTCTAGAGGTCAGGTATTTGAAAAAACCGCGATAGAGTGAAGCCGCGAAAGTCGAAGCGCGAAGTGGCGAGGGACGACTGTACAGTGTTTTGAAAATGAATTCGTACCACCGTTAACATCGCTCATGGTAACTCATTGGAGCATACTGTGGCAGAGGAGGTCCAAAAATTGTTTCCATTCAGGAGGATAAATGCCTCCCTCCCAATTCATAGCGAGTCCCACTTCATCGCATAAATCAGTCAGTCTCTTGGGTCTGGGTCAGTCTCTTACCGTACAGTAAAGATGATGTTGCACGTCCCGTATAAAAGTATAGACAATAGGGAAAAGGGGTAGGACATGTTCATAAGTGCAGACATATAAGTGCAAATCTATCCAGACACTTTGTAGGAACAAGAGCAAGTTGTGTGGAATTCAGGGACTACTAATTTATTTTTCCAGATATGCTCCAGTGATTGTTAATGATTGGCTTTTGCTATCGAATGGAACCACTCAACCAAGCCCTGTCCTCTGGGCAAGAATTGATCACACAAGATGCTGTCCAGATCCTACCCACTGTTGATCGCACAAAGGGCAGAACAAATCTTTAAAACATGTCGAGGATGAAACACGACCACTCGTTCGGGATTCCGTGATGGACTGCATTCCAAAGTACAAGGTAATATCAGAAATTGAAGCTAAATCAAGAGGCAGATCTGAGACCTTCCAAGGATACACGAATGGAAAAGCTGGCATTCAGAGGAAGCAGATTGAACGATGGCTGCCAAGATCATCAGCGATTGAAGAAGCCAAAGTGGATGCTTTATTACCCAGGCATGCAGTTACTCCCCGACATTGCTGTGTTGTGCTGTGTACCGTTCTTGCCTTCGTTGCAAATCTGTCATCGACTATTTTATTTTCATTGGTTTTGGTACAACCTCGAGGACATTCAGCTATCTTAGTGAAATGCTACGGGAACGAACCATTGTGCATGAAAAGTTCCTTTCGACCCCAGAATCTAGAGAAGATTCCCGGAATACCCCTGGAAGGAGTCGCGAATTTTAACACTGAATATTCTACTTCCACAAGTAAGGCATCCAAAGAAGATGATATAACCAGTTCAAAAAACCCTCCTGCGGAACAGAACCATGGAAATACAGGATGGAATGAGTGAATGTCACCACTTCGCATTTTCTATGAAAAACGAATCATCATTTCTGGAAAGACATCGAGGACTTTGACTAAGAGTTTCACGCACTTGGAAAATAAGATGAAGTTCGGTAGTTAATTTTTCAATTAATTTCAATATTATTCAAATCAGGTTTCCAGAGATGAGTTTTTCCAGGCATAAGGGAAAATTCGTTGAATTTCGTTCCTTTTTTTCCTATGTCCATGTTCGCTTCTTCTTGAGCTTCCTCCTTTTTTTACCTTCCTCTTCTCGCTTTTCTCCCTCCTGCACTTTTTTTCCCATTTTCCCAGTGAGTCATGAGTTTCAAGATGACTTGCTTCTGGACTTGTAATGTCTGGAAGTAATGACGAAGAACTGAAGCTTCTAGGAAGCAATTGCATTGAGCCCATTTTCAGCATTTACGACTCTCAGCTCTGCATTTACCTCGTTTGATTTTGCCTGCGCCTCCGCCATGGCATCAAATGCCTCTCTCCATCTTCTCGTAGCATCGTTTACCCGCGAATCAATTTGACCCAATAAACTCAACAGCGTCCCCGATTTGTCCACATTGTCGCATCCTCAACATACGCTTGTTGACATGCTGTTCTAGCTGTTTCCCATTTCCCTGCTGCTGGGCGCCAGGCTGCAGTAGCATCCTGGTATGAAGATGCCATTCTCCACATGGAAGCTGATCTCGCTGACACCGCCACCGTAATCCAGTAGTCTGCTCCTGACGCATCCCTTCGTGATGATTCTTCTGCTAGTGATTTATAGGTTGATGCATTTGCAACGCATACCTGTAACTTCCCCAACATTTGGAATAATTTATTCGCCGACGTATCGGTAATAGAGGGTTTCAATGACGGCTTTGAAGCTACCATTGGTGAAACAGTCATTCTTGTTAAGTTCGTCATTTCTTTTGCTACTGCATCCGAAATTTCATTTTCCTTCCTTCGCTCCTCTTTTGAATTCGACTCAAGCCCAATTGTATCCACAGTCGCCTCGGAAACGTCGCCATTGAAGAGAAAAGTTGTTACATCCAATATCTCCTGCGCACGCACGTCTGGATCGATGCCCTCCATGGGACGAGATAGTATGGCTTCTCCTTCTGCATATTGTGCGTCCTGCTCCTCCTGATCAGGAGTGACATTATAACATCCTCCAGTTTCGTCTTCTATATTGGACCTACTTGATAGTATTAGCGCACAGATGCCGAGAACAAGGGAAATCGAAACTATGCTAATCCCCAGAATTTTGAGCATGTTGTTGGTTTCATATTTGTCTTTCTTTTGGTCACTTAGGTTGCCATTTCTCCCTAGCAGTTTCTCGGTCTCGGGGTCAGACGCCAACCCTGGCATAGAAAGAAAGGAAAGCCATTTGAAACAAATGAAAATCATGGGAAAATGAGACAAAAACAAAATACCTATGAAGGAATACGTGGAAAGCATCACATTCAGCCCATGCCATTCAAGCGAGTCATTAATGTTGAACAATTTAGCAAATCAAGTCTTCTTAAAATTGTAACACGACATCATTGGAACAATGCCATGCTGGGGAGGGAAGGGGGTTCATCCGGAGCAGTAAGTGAAGCATCTAATATCTAATATATACAGACGATCGTGACTGACTGACTGACTGACTGACGCTAATTCTTACCATGTTCTAGAAAGGTTAAAATTCTGAAACTTGGTTCTCTAGTACCATTTGGGGTGCAGAATTCAGAAAAAATCCTTTGAGGTACATGCCCGGGGGGTATACATTTTGGGGGTACTTTTTTTTAAATATATATCGTCATGAATAAGCATGTATGCCAGAGATTCTTTTGCACGTCCCCGTTTCAGTGGTGTAGTGGTAGCATATCCAACCCATAATCGTGAGGCCTGCGTTCAATTCCCGCCCATACAATGCCTTTTTATGGCTTCTCTTGCCTTCCATTTCCCGTGGCTTGAGTAAAACGGAGAGAAGTTGAAATTTGAAACGTGCCATGGATGTGCCAACCGACATGATGGGTTCAGGAAAGGTGCAAAAATCTTCCTTTCTTTCATACTGAGCAATTAGGATATCTATGATATCTCTCAGTTCTGTGGCACATTTTACTTTTGGGTCCGCGGCGAGGAAAGTCCGGGCAGGACCCGTAACTTTGAGTCGGTCCAGGGCGATCGCGACTGGATCAGCCTACCCCACCATAGGTTGTGCAGTTTGGATTTTCTCTGTAAATTCTCTAACAGAATTTAATACTTTTTCCCCCGAAAATTCAGGAATTGAGCTCAAAATATCTGAATTTAAAGAGGAACCTTCCTTCCCTTCATCCATGTTTCTTTCGTTACTTTCTCTTGAATTTTCCCTTCCACTAAAGTTCCAGCCGAAACTGTTACTCCCTACTCGGAATTGGACTCCCGTGAATCCAGAAATATTTCAAACGGAAAAATTTACTTTCTGGACGCCTGATCAAATTTTGATTAGGCTATTTATCATCTAATCAAATTTAGACATCCTGTTCGCAGCGCCAGATGTAACGGGCACGAGGCGCAGTGGGTTGGATTTCTGAAAATATCAACTATTAATTAAGTTCAAATAGAAACTACCTTAACACGCCCTGATTCCACTACAATGAATTCCCTTCCAGGAAATCAGGTCCGTGCCAATTCAAATTCAAGTGGGAGTAACTAAGGTGTAATTCAATACAACAAAAAGAATGCATTTCCAAAAAGAAAAATTAATTATATACAGTATAAAAAAGGACAAAACAAATGTTAGCAAAACAACCAGTCCAACCCCTTTACAGTACACTCAACGACAAAGGACTGATTTTCACTTCCTTTCAGATAAAACCTTGCATGTTCTGGGGAAAACTCACGACCATCGAAGCGAAACGAATCCTCCAACTATATCGTTGTTCCTCTGTATGTTTATAGAGAGAAAGGCGACCAGTTTCAAAACACCCACGATCTAAAAGGGTCCGAGTACCCCGGTGAAATCGGTACTGACTCGCGTTCTTCGAGTTCGAGCTCTTCAGGCACCTCGGAGTGAGGGATCGAGGGAGGGATCTTCAGTTGAAATCTTGCTGGATTGGAGGATAGGTTTTGGCGATGATACTTGATTGGAGGGACTTTGATACCCATTCGCATAATGATGATGTGGCTCCTTGTGGTACCTTGCCCACCTCCTTCCTGATCCTTCTTATCTGCTCCTCCACGCTAATGTTATTGATCCCTATTGACGCTCCTACTGCTTTAGACTTATACTTTGCAGTACTTCACACTAGTTGTAATACGGTGAGACTGTCCTGTCCTAGTCCTTGTAGTAAAAGGAATACTACGAATAATGCGCTAATAATTAAAGTAATTAAGCTGATTGATACTGCTCTAATGTGAAGTTGGAGGTAGCTATCAGGAAACCTATTAACACTGCTACAAAGTTGCCAGGTAATAAGTAAATCACGACTTAGCTGACAGAGCCTCCAGAGTATCCTCCAACAGGTCCTCACGCTACGAACGCTCGACAAAGACGAATGTTGGTTTTTCCGCATAATTTTCGCAAAGAATTCCGCAAATAATTGCGTCTAAAGGCTGCGGTACTTTTCAAATCCATTAAAAAGAGGAATTATTAGCCTTAGTCGACCTCCATCCAACATGACAACTCCCTTTTCCCACAATATCCATAGGGAATAAAGTAAAAAAAAAATAAGGAAAAAAATCAATATTAAATAAACTGTAAAATGTTCACTACCAATAAAGCTTACCGAAATTGTCAAGTCCTGTTCCAAGAGAGAAGTATCGGAGTTGAGTCCCTGCTGTTCTTATGAGCGTAATTGTAACAGTAATAATGGTGGAAGCGAATGATATTTCCAATTTACATTCAGATATTTTGAGGTCCATTCAGAAATTCTCAGGTGAGAAGAGATCAATGCCTGCACGAGAATTCTTAGAAAAAGTTAAAATTGTCAAAACTTTGGTTGGATTTGAGGATAAGGTTGCAATCGCGACAGTCAGAATGAAGGTAACAGGACCAGCCCGTTCCATTCTCGCAGCAGACCCCAAGACGAGGATTGCCACAACAGTATAAGACATCCTTGATATATTCATAGCTCAACTTGAGAGAGAGGAAGAACTTACAACTTTGTGTCATATTCTAGCCAGAATGGCTTTATATTCAAATGTGACGATGAAAGATTGGAGAGGAGTGATTTTGCGTTTTTGATAGATACTGTACTAGCTAACCTCCGAAAAAAAACAGGAAGGCACATCAAGTGACCCGCATTCATTCTATGTTTGGCCGAACGAGCGCGAAAGTAAGACAAATTTGGGGAATGATGGAGTAGTTGAACCAGAAAATAATTATGGCCAAAGGCCGCAACCCTAAGATCCACTATAGCAAGAAATTAAAAAGTGAGAACTGAAGACAAGTGTCACTGAATTTCAAATCGCAAACCTGACCTCGATGTTCCTTGGTTCACAGTGTAGTTTTGCTGCGTTAGTGGCCGGGTACTCTTTATGATCTTTCATCCTAAGGCGGTTCCCAGTCTTATCTCCAATACCGTCGCTAACCATGACGAAGATCCTCACGTCTTTCGCTGAGAAGAACAGAAACTTGTCTCGGTAACCGAAACTGGTCACAACCTGCGGAGGAAAATAATCGTGAGTGTTGCTGGAAAGCAGTAGGGCGGCTTGCATATGTTTTCAATCTCTTAGACCACACGTTGAAATTCAAATTAAAATGAATAATTCGAACTTTCATGATGATGATGACCCGAATAGAAAATAACTGGTTGTCGCGGGTATAAATAAATGGCATGAAAGGCGCATATTATGTTTCTGGGTTTTCCGTGCCATTTATGAAATACCTTTCCTTTCGAGAAAAAAAATCACTCCCAGACTGAGGACAATCATTCATAAATGAGGACACTCATTCATAAATATAAAATATATCTGAGTTCGAAATAATTTCAAGTCAGGATGCCTAAAACTAACTTGGATCGGAGACAGGATGTCCAGGAGATCGATTTTCACTGGCGGAGGTGAAGGGTAAGTTGTTTTTCTTCTTATTCAGAAACCCATGCAGGGAAAATTGGTCACAGCATCAATGTTTTCTGGCGTTCTTGCTCTTCTGGGACGGCCTGTGACTGGAACACGTTCAGCATTGCCAGTTTCACTCAGTTTTCGCAATATATCGCACATTCGCTTTTTTTTTCAATTTCCTATCGGGATATTCACGCAAGATTTAGTTCAAGGTAAATCCTTTTTCTTCACGAAGCGGCCGGATTAAAACTCTATCACTCTCAGTAAGAACACGGTTTGTGCCCATTTTCCCTGTAAATGTTTCTGAATAAAAGGTAAAAAAGGTAAATTAAAAAAAATTAACACTGCAAAGACGAGCACTCAGCACAACGCGCTGAGTGGACCACCGGAGGTCGTTAAACTTTTGTCACGATCTTCTGCTGGTCGGTTATCCAAATCACGCATCGAAGTCTTCAAATTTTCATCCTTCACATCATGAAGAAGGGAAAGAAGGTAGGGAGCAATTAGGAAGGAATAAAACGACGGCGCGCGCGACCTTGAAGCCAGCTGTTGAGGATGATTTACGTGGGCGGCACGGTATAGGTTCGTTTTGGCAACTTTTTTTTTGGTATGTTTATTTTGAAACGGCCATGACTCATCTCCAAATGAATGTAGGAACCTAAAGCCATAAATTTTCAGAAAGAGCATGAAATGAACTTTCTTTCAGTTTTTTCTTTGACTCTGTTGCCCAAACCGTTCAGGAGATATTCACATTCTTATACAGGGGCGAAAACTTTTGGCCCACCTTGTATATTTGACTTAACGCCAATGATAACATTTTCACCAACTCCTCATAAATGTTGACTCCGTCATCAAATTAACAATGAACCTTCACTAAATTGGAGTTATCGATCAAATTTTTATTTTCGTATGTAAAATATTTCAGTGCTTCACTGTATTCCAGTTCATGTTATGCTGTGCTTAACATATTAGCATGCACGCGGAGTCCGGCTACAAGCGGCTCGGAGTACAGAGATTTGGTACGTAAGAGTATTTACCCGGCCTACATGAACATGTGAGAAAATTCTGATGATAAATCATTACATATTCATGACGGGGTCAATAGTACCTTTTGATTAACTAAAGGCTCACCTTTTCTAGGGGCACACAATTTAGGAAGGGTATAGAAAGAAAGAAAAGTGGCATGCTGGAATGTAGCAGCTACATGTGAAAGCTGGTCAATTTCCGAATTGGGGACCCCAGAGAGAGCATACATGGAAATTGCATGCACACCAAACTAAGCATAAACATTAAGACGGAACACACTTCTCAGGATGAACACCTTGTGTCAGCTACTGAATGAGTGAAGACTATCCAAGGGCACCATATACACGAAGCTCTGGAGAGATTGACCGAGCCCTGACTGAGAGGAAAAACTGAAGCTCCTCCTCCCTTGCTCTCTGATTGGACCGTGCAAATGCGCCCTTTTTTCTAAATTCTTTTTTGGAAAGACGTGTCGCCATCGTTTCCAGGGCCGAATTTTGCAATAATTATCCGGTAAAGAGTCAAAGAACTATAGGCCGTGAAGATATTGATTCACAAGCTACAAGAAACCGGTTCATTTGAGGGGAGGCGGAGGAACGGAAGGCTAAAACTCGTCGGAACTGAAAGAAACTACGTTCATGTGGAAGACGTAATTGTTCTTCTAAAGGAATCCTGGGATGAAAAATTCCTATCTGCAGATTGCCAAACGCAAGAACAAGAGGGAAAAGCAGTTGAAAAGAGTTGTCTCTGCGAGTAAGTTAGGAAAATTCTCCCGTCAGCGTCCAGGGGCAAGTGCAAAAATAAAATTCCAGTTGCTTTTGCAAAACATTCGTGTGCTAAACTGGCTGGAGGTAAACGGGCAAAAATGTTCGAAGAATGCAAAGAAGTGTGTAGACGAAAGAAACTTCGTTGTTTTAGTTGTTATTTCAGAGACGCTGCCAATTTTCAATGAGCAGTGCGTCTTCATTTTGCCTTACCCTTTACATCTGGTCTAGATATATATACTTTTTTCATAATACGGAATAGGTACGGAATAGATATGGCGATAAAAGGATAGGCAAGATGGGGAAGGCGAATGAAATGGGTAGGGGGACCTTTACTGCTGCTTTAACATTTGATGATATGGGATAAATAAGTATCCCCTTGACCAAAAGCTCTCTATCCTCAAGGAGAAGGTTTATGAACATAATTTTATAAGGTTGTCATGTGTAGATGACGTCACCATCATTATTTTCGTTCACTCTTGATAAGTCATCATCATACTTTTTTTATCTCATAGACCAAGGGTGTCAAACTCAAATCGGTCGGAGGGCCGCATTCCATGCCCTGCAGATGCCAGCTGGCCGCAACCATTATTTTTCACCGAAATGTGTGCTATCGTTCAATCCAAGCGGAAATTTCAAGAACAGACGGCGGGCCGGATGAACCACCTCTGCGGGCCGGATCCGGTCCGCATGTTTGGCACCCCTGGCATAGACTATTTTGTCATCGTCCTCATTTAGAACTAAAATGTCCGGGAACATTTGTACCAGGACCATTTTATCCTGGATTCGTATGTTCCAACCTGACAAGAAATCCCCCTACGTTGGAACTACACCTGCCTTCACAATTCAGAAATGCCACTAATGCAGGCTTTTTTTTAACGTTATTTGCGAATGTGTGCCAATCCGGCATCTCCGAGGGGTCCATCACTACTTGCTGCATTTCTCTGGAAAATTGTTCATGTAGCGATGTTAATTGCTTCAGCCAGAAGTTCTGAAGACGGTCGTGCCCGGAGCTCTTCCAGTACGCTTTTGGTTTGAGTGCCTTCAGACAGATGCCTGAGACAGATGTTATAATCGGGAGGTCACTCATTTTGGGAACATCTGTTAGCTGCCTCTGACGTCGAAACCACGTGCCACGTGTTGAAGCCACCAATGCAGGCTTTTTCGCGCAATTTGCCAATGTGTGCCTTTGGTGGTTTTCAATATTTTTCTAAGCAAGATCGCATGACGCAGCAATAATGCTTGACCTTGAGCTTGATCTGCCCTCTTCTACTTCTACTATTTTCAGTAGGATTACTACATTTCATGAAACGTGTTCAATCTCAAGCTTTTCTATCGAAGGATGAAAAGTCAATCAAGAGGCTATATTTTTTCTTTTCTGCCTATTTTACGGACAAATATGTGAAATGCAAGGTCAGTGCATCCANATTTGCGAATGTGTGCCAATCCGGCATCTCCGAGGGGTCCATCACTACTTGCTGCATTTCTCTGGAAAATTGTTCATGTAGCGATGTTAATTGCTTCAGCCAGAAGTTCTGAAGACGGTCGTGCCCGGAGCTCTTCCAGTACGCTTTTGGTTTGAGTGCCTTCAGACAGATGCCTGAGACAGATGTTATAATCGGGAGGTCACTCATTTTGGGAACATCTGTTAGCTGCCTCTGACGTCGAAACCACGTGCCACGTGTTGAAGCCACCAATGCAGGCTTTTTCGCGCAATTTGCCAATGTGTGCTTTTGGTGGTTTTCAATATTTTTCTAAGCAAGATCGCATGACGCAGCAATAATGCTTGACCTTGAGCTTGATCTGCCCTCTTCTACTTCTACTATTTTCAGTAGGATTACTACATTTCATGAAACGTGTTCAATCTCAAGCTTTTCTATCGAAGGATGAAAAGTCAATCAAGAGGCTATATTTTTTCTTTTCTGCCTATTTTACGGACAAATATGTGAAATGCAAGGTCAGTGCATCCAGTTCTCACTTATGTGACAAATTCCCAGAAATGCTCTACAACCAAAATATAGAAGATTTAATGAGTAGCGCAGCCGACTTTAAACATTGGAAAGCGGGATTGACGGGGTCGTCGTACCCCCCCCACAGAGGACACCCTGATGAAGAGGAGAAGAAAGAAATCTCAATCACTTTAGGTGGGTTCCACACCGCAGACTTTCCATCCCGTCCTATTATTTTGCCATTGATCATCGGGTTTCCCCCTTGACCTGCTACCCTCATGACACTTTTATTGCTTACTTGCTAATCTCTTCCATCCCAGGTGCGCATCGATAACCATGTTTAGAGTGTAAAAGATTCCCGGGAAATCCCAGAGAGAAGAAAGTAATGGATCTTGTCGAAGCTCCGCTCGCCCCCCCTCTCCCCAACTTTTCTTTCGCATGCGTTTTGATCTGGGCCCACCCAGGCTTGGGATTTTCACTCACTCCATTCCAAGTCCAAAATTCTCTCTCTAAATCTTTCCAGTCCGCCAAATGAGGGTTTTACTCAAGAAGAAAATACGGAAAAACCCTGAACGGAATAACACTTCCTGAAGGAAAACCTCCTAGAACAAGTGACCCCCTTCTATTCGCCTTCCCTTATCTTGCTGATTCTCCTATTGCATTCCTATTCCATATTTATAAATATGCAGAAAAGCCTTGTTTCAGCTAGATAAAAATTACCAGACCTAAATTTTCCCCGGTAAATGCCATTTTTTATTAACTATCTCATGTCTGACGCTTCTGGCCCAACAGCATTATTGAGGCCCGGGTATACGCACTGAGGGAGTGGAAGATCCATTTCGCATCTCGCGTCGGTATCTTCGGGCGGATGTTTCTTTGGATACATGCTCTTCGATTTTGCATATTGGTTTGATAGCATGTTGCTTTATAATAATTTAAGAGACCATGTTATTTCTAATTTCTGAGATTGTATATGGAAACAT